TTATTTAATTAAATAATACATCAAAGAATATAGACTAATAACATGCAAAAAGTAGACAAATTCACTTACCTCTCAAAACTTTCCAAGCTTTGTAACTATGAACAAGAGCCTTTACAAATTCATCCAAGCTAGTCGTTAACTTTCCCACAGGAACAAATCTTGTACTGTGAGTGAAACTGACAATATTTTGTTCAGAATACAATGTTATACAATACATTATCTTCTAGATGAAAACCTTGACTATCTGTTGGTTATAGGTAATATATAATGGAATGTAAGAAAGAATTATCAACAAATTGTGAAAGAGAGGATGTGACACGTGGGTGTGGCAGAAGGGGTCTGATTTTCTATTTGATAGCTCTGTAACCAAATACAATTAAAGGCTATAAAAATTATGGTTTGTTTGAGCAATAATGATTTTATAGAGTATTTTACATTTAATTTCATACTTTTTTCAGGGGTGGAGGATAAAATAGGGATGATCACATGCTAAACGAAAATGTGTCACGTGGGTCACACAAGTGGAAATCCAGAATTTTTTTTAAATATTGCCTTGTAGAATTAAAAACTTAAAACTCGTATACTACTAAAATATGGATTATTAGCAAAGATTTTATGCTATTCTAATTGGTATAGCATAAACAAAAAATAGTTTTAATAAACTTTTGAATGTAAGACACTAAAACCTTGTGTCATGTGCAGTAAAGGGTACCTGGAGCGATAGGGTTTAGGTTACATGTTCTTTCTCTACACCTGTTTGTGACCTGACTCTTATATGCCATGTACCCCTCTTGCCTGCAGGTTTATTTTTTGTGGCTGCTCACCTATGGACATCACTGGTTGAAGTGATTTGTGCTGCTTGTCTACAGACCACTTTCTCATTCTCTCTACATCTTGAGACCAGTTCTTCTTACCCAACACTCTGTCAGATGAGAATGGGGTTCAGTCCTTTTCTCTGATTCATCTGCTCACTCATTCTCTCCATGTCCAATCAGATTTCAAACTTGATCATGTTCAGTAATGGTCTTGAAGGTTTTGTTGCCTGCAGTTATACCTTTAGAGATACTAGACAACTCTTTTTATTCTGACTTCTCTTTGAAGGTGATGTATCTTCTGTAAGACACATCTAATCATATTTGTCTTTTCTACGTCCTTAGTCGATTTTCCTGGTTGAAGTCATCGTGCAGACTGATATGTGAACCTCCCCTGGTACATTTATCTCACATTATATGCCAGATATGGCAATCTCTTCATCTGAGAGTTTATGCTTACCCCCAGTAGCTATCTTAACCATTTCTGCTAGATTTTCCAGGGTTCCTTACCTTGTTTCAAAAGAATCCCACTATGTGGCGATTGTTGCCCAGACAGGTATGCTTTTATCAAACCAATTCCACACTAGCAACCACTATTTCACTATAATTAATACTGATTGCAACAGGCTCTGTAGAAATGAGGTGTTCCATAAGACCACCTAGGAGCTTACCTGGTGGTATTACCATACTATGCTGGACCGCCATTCATGGACTATCATGAGTAAAGTTAAAGGGGATCCTGCCAATCATCAAATTGAATAAATTCGGGTCAGTTTGCTTTTAAAAATTTAGGGAACTTGGTTTACTTATTGCACTGTTTCCAGAGCACTGTTCCTCAGGACTCCCCAACATGAATTTTCCTCCAGATTATATTTGTGGAGCTAGGGAGTCCTTACCAAACCCAGTTTCCAGTCACTGGGGTGGTGGACAGTCTTTGTCTCCAGAGTGTTAGAGTGAATTCCTCCACTCTCAGAGAAGAGGACAAAGTTGTGTGCCTTTCTGCCTATGTCATAACTCTATTTCTATCTTGTATTAGTTGAATAGTGAAGATATTTAAATATATTTTTAATATAACTTGCATGATAACTTTATTTTCATATCTTTGTTTTTTTATATTCTCCTGCAGAAAATTCATAAAACATTTTATATCAAGTTTAATTTTATTCTAATCCCCATATTTTGTTTTTACCTACCAATAAAATCATTTAAAGTTTTTGTAACTGTAGAATGTGGTTTAAAATCACTGGCAGTGATAGATTTTAAATCATTCTATCCCATCTGTAACTATTAACAAAGTTGGATTATAGACAACACTAGTCAAAGATTAAGTATTCCAAGAAGTGGATAATATCCAGAGTGAATGAAGAGCTCTATGATGCAGTTATTCAGTGATATGTTATTGTTTGTTAAAGGCACAGATTTCTTTATTCAAGAAATTATTATCTAAGTAATCAGAGAATTGTGATTTGCTACTTGACTGTACTCTTAGAGTGCTTTAGCAATTTATTAAAACAAAACATATTATATGTATTTAAATGAAATATACTTAAGTAGATTTAAATGTTAATTTCTTTTATACTTTTATATAAATAACTCACAGTAGAACAGTTTTATGACCATATATATGTTAAAGATTTCTTTAACACAGATACAAAATCATTAAACAGTTGGTCCGCTGTTTAATATCAAATAATGGATTAAGCAAAATGTCATAACATTATTTGCATACCTAAATTAATTTGGGCTACTGTATAGTTATTATGACCATTCCAACTTTTTTTTTAATCATAATTTATGGGAGTGGATTTACACTGTACAAAAATATCTAATATAACATTTTCTCTGTTGAATTAAAATTTTTGTTTATTTTAAAAGTTTGATTTTAAAAAGAATTGAAATACATTTTGGGTATTAGAGTTGACTCGTGGCCCCATGTTTTTAACTTGTGTCAGTTTTTTCTTTAACTAATAATCTAGAGTTTCATTGCCATGTTCTAAAATTGTATTTCAAGTGATGTAACTTACAAGTGGCAATGATTGTAACCAAGTATACTTGTATGATGCTATTCATTAGTGAAACTAAACAATGTGGAAGTTGAAAAATTAATTCACTATAAAATTTAAGTTTTTGTTGACATGTATCTTACTCAGTAGACTTTTGGAAATTGTTAAGGGTCATTGAAAAAGGAATGAATACAATTAGAGGTTGATTTTGGACTTCAAAGCAGATGAGATATTATTTACTGTTTAGTTATTATTATTGTCAAATATGATAGCATTATATTCCTTTGATTGAAACAGGAAAGAAAACACTTTTGATTTACTGGGAGAAGACTGCTATGTGCTTGGTAGACTTGTATATACTCTTGGTGTGATAATGCATTCTGCATCAAATACCACAGTAAGTAAAAGAAAGCTTTTAGTAGTTTTTTCTTTATACATGTATATACTTTTAATTTCCTAATAACACATTCAGTAAAGCGAATAGATAATAATTAGTTGTCATTTTAGTACTGAATTGAATTTTTTTTCTCAGAATAAATGATAATGTTATTTTTTGATTTAATATTCTAATTTTTTGTAATCCCTTCATTGTTATTAAACCTCTGATTAAGATTGCATTCAGAATTTGATTGTGGTTTGTGTAAATTTTTGTAATGCTTTAAAGTAACAAAAAAATACCAACGTATCACAAAGTAGACAAATAAAAGATTACATATCTAAATTACTTATAAGATACATTATTTATCTAACACATGTCTCAAAAATTATGATAATACATTGTATACAGTGTGCATCAGTTAGAAAGTCGAAGACTTTCATAGTGTGTTAGCTCAATACAACAATAAAAATAGTTAATACAGGTGTTATTAATATGTATTTTCATGGTGCTGGTTTGCCCTGCAAAATTATCCAATAAGAAGCAAATTTTCCAAATGCATTAAACATCATACAGTTTTTATTACTTATATTTAATTCATTACTTGAGCATTAAATTGTTTGATTTGTTTTAGCTCATCTTCATCAAGGTTTTAGTCTGAGAAAGGTCAAAGTCTTAAGACACATGTAGATCACTTATAAGGGAATTTCAGTGCTGCACTTAGGATTAGTTTACCATTACCTCTCACACAGAAGACCTATACAACATTCAACCTGTTAAACAATTCCTTAATGTGAGATTTCTGAAACTATTTTCAACATTTCTTTCACTCAACTGATGACCTAAGACAAGGGTGGTCATAGAAGCTTTTTTGTGGTTTGGTTGTTACTCATAACTAAGAGCCCCCAGTGGCACAGCGTTATGTCTGCGGACTTACAACGCTAGAAACCGGGTTTCGATACTCGTGGTGGGCAGAGCACAGATACCCCTTGTGCAGCTTTGTGCATAATTAAAAAACAAACAAACAAACATAACTAAGACTAATTATTATTAATTGTAATTTTCATTTCAAATTTTTTAGCAGCACATTACATAATTAGTTATTATGGTATTGTGCATTATTATAAATTATAATATTGTAACAGGTAAATCAGTGAAGGCCAGTCATTTGGGTTCAACTTTTCATGAGTCACAAATGAATTTAGTTAAAATTCCAGGAATACAGTCTTGTGTAGATGAGTGAGCACACAGGCCACCAACTCAAGGTATTTATGTGTGAACAAAGAATCGACTTGGAGTCTGATGATACAAAAACATAATAATGTATTCTATATCCATATCCAAAACATTTAAATATTTTTTGACATCAAAAACACCAAAATAGTCTTGGAATAATTCTGCATCAAACACATCATATTCTTCACTTTGCTCATGCAATTGTTCATTGAGTAGCCAATGCTGCTTCTCACTTTGTGCAGCAATTTATTTTCACCATGATGCATCAATAACCAATGCCAATTTAGGGGAAGGATCCAGTGATCTCTAGAGCTACTCTCTGTAGGGGAGAACTTAAAAATTGCCATCAGTTTTTGTCCTTGCATGGATAATTCATTCTGTGAGTGCAGTGTTTACACAATAACTCTAAATCTCTATGTAAATGCAGCCAAAAAAATCATCTCTACAGGTATATTGAATTTCAACACCCTCCCTGATTTCTTCAGATTCTCATTTAGAGAATCTCAAACCTCTAGCTGCATTGTAACTTGAGTACTGCAATTGCACAAGTTGTAGCATTACTATAGCACATGCTCACATACCTATTGTTACTCAAACAACTGATAGAAGTTGCATACTTTCATACTACATTCATAGATATCTTTGATGGTTGCACTTTATGGCATGTAGTAAGATCTGGGTACTTTATCTGCTATCCTTGTAGCTTCTTGGTCATTATACTGAGTAATCATTCATCAGAGGAATCTTGTGTAGTTGATCACCATGGCTAAGACTTTAGGTTTCACAACAACAGTATGTCCAGGACACTGTACAACTGGACAACTCTCACCTATCAGCAAGAAGTTCATCTGTACTGTTAACCCAGTTGGTGTTGTACATTGAAGCTGTACTTCTGCATTGTTGTTATGTAATGTGTATATAATCATACTCTCCATTTCTCAAGAGTTAATGACCCATTTTAGTCACTTATGATCCACTCTAATAATAAATTCTCTTTCACATCGATAATAGTGAAAGTGCTTGAGAAATACTGTAAATAAATCTTTGTCATGCAGTAACAATATTCATCTTACCTATGCTATAACATATAATATACCATCTACACTTAACATAACACTGCTTCAGTCCTACTACCACTAGCACCCATATCTGGGATGAATGGAATATCTTGTCTTGGATAATATGGTTCTTCCCTAGCTCTATTTAGGATATCAGTATCTTTATGTTTTTACTTTCACACATACGCTTTCCTGTGCACCAATAATTAATACCTATGCTATAACATATAATATACCATCTACACTTAACATAACACTGCTTCAGTCCTACTACCACTAGCACCCATATCTGGGATGAATGGAATATCTTGTCTTGGATAATATGGTTCTTCCCTAGCTCTTTTTAGGATATCAGTATCTTTATGTTTTTACTTTCACACATACACTTTCCTGTACACCAATAATTAAACTATGTGACTGACTCTTCTTTTGGTAGATAAATCACTCCCTAGTAAGCTATTTACTATTTGCCTAACATGAGCATGTGTTGATGTCTTCCCACATACCAAAAATAGTGTACATAATTTATGTACATCTAGTGCAGTAATACAAGAAAAGTGAAAATACTTGTCACTATGTGCACAATACTTCATGGTATTTCTATCACTGTATTTGCAGGCTAAAACTCATGCTTTTAGTTCACTGGTATATCCAGCTTGAAGTACTTCTTAATATACTTAAATGACATGGTCACACAAGTTGTGGATCACATGGGTACCTCTTGGGAAGCAGTCATAACAGTCCATGTTGTGTTCACTAAAAAGTACTTTACTGCTTTGTATGTAATAATTTCTGATAATAATATATTGATGGTAATGATTTGTAATGGTCTAGCATAGATTGGATTGCAGTTCAAGCATATATCAACAGACTAAGCAATGTTTTTCCACTCTGTGAGTAAATCACTAATAGCAAACTAGTCATGTTCATGGAATGAGGTAAAGCATAATTTGGAGCTGATATCCTTTGTTGAAGGTTAAGATGATTGACAAAATATTATTCAATCACGGATCACACTTGAGACATTGATCTAGATAATAGATCAAGGCAAAGATTGTCAAAGTGTTGATCTCCCCTAGTTTGTTTTACCAAGTTGATACTTTTATGCTTTTACTTTTTCAGATATGCTTTCGTGTACACCATTACTTAAAATATATGCCCTACTCTCTTCTTGGGTTAAACATAAAACAAATAACTTCTTGCCCATTCACATCATGCAAATATTACTCGCATTTTGTACATCATTGATGAATCAAAACTTATTAAAAGCATTCAGTATGTACTTCAGAAATTTACTGTATCGAGTTTTATCGTATGTTGCTTCCTTTGCCAAACTTCAGTAAGAATGTAATGACAACACTGTGTGTATGTCATGGTTAGCAATTGAAAATATAATCTGAACCCCTACTCCCAGCCAGTTGGTGATTCCCAATTGATGACCACAAAATGATCATGTCCTATTACTGAATTGTAAGGCTTTATTATTTTTTTTCTGGGGTGAACTCTGGATAAGGTATCACTGATATATTAATCAAGGTACATTTTATTGACTGAAAGTACTTAATACAGTCCTGAACCCTATAAAATGAGATTTGAAAAGTTGGCCACAAAGCATCTATAATATCATACAAAACCAAGAAAACTTAGTTTGGTCCCAGCCCCACCATTTGTCCTCCTCTTTGCACATGGCCCATGGTAAGCTTCCATCTATTTAACAGCCTGGGCCTGGCATAGTGTTTTTAAATGGGTTATTTTTTGTAATGTGTAGTGGGTGAGGTAGATATAAGTGCTGCCTTCTAGAACTCCAGATGAGGTACTGGAGCTAACTTTTTAACTAGGGAATTCAGCAAGGATTATTTTGTCAATGGCTTGGTGGATGTGGTTATTCCAGGGATTGGAACATCAAATGTTGTCATATTTAATGTAGCCTGTGGAGTCTTGCTACATAATGGAAATTTCAGTGTTTTCTCTAAACCTACTTTGGTCTTCCATTATGGTTTATGGGGCCTTACAAAGCAAAACATTTCTGATCAAGTTAACTGAGAAAGTCAAATGTTCAGAAAGTCCAAGTTTTTGGTCTGATATAGCTAAAGTGAAGATTATAAACATTTTGTCAATTTGGTTTCTGAGAGGTCAGTAGCTCATTGAGTAACGTAGAGCCAAAAGCTTTAACTGACCAGTTACAACCATGAGAGAGTTTGAGATACTGGGTGTTAAAACAATATTATTGTTTAAGTGCTATTTCTACAAATATTGTATGCAAATATATGTTGTTACCTTAAAAATGTCTCTTTAACACATGTGAATGTAATCTTGTATGTAAGGTTTTGTATGGGACCTACAATTGGCCAGTATACTGCCAATGACTAATGACAACTCCAAGCAAGTTAGCATGGCTACTGTTCATACACACACACTCAAGTCTTCCACATTATGTGGTTTTTAAAAACAGGTCCTGAGTCCAACGAGGAATGGGTGAAAACTGTGAATTAATGTGAACGTTGTATGCATACTATATCCCACAGAAAAAATGGGGGAGGGCAACTTTTCCCTTGCCCAACCCCATAATCCCACCTATGTCAGAAATGCTGCTTGTTGCTCTTTTGCTGTACTTATATGTTGGTGTATAAAAGCAGTGATTTTGTTCTATGAGATAAAGTATTAGATATATATGCATTCTTAAAACTTCTTTTTATTTTTCTTATTTTATCATCAGGTAGCTAAACAGATGGGTTCAGCTCTTTTGGAATTTATCTGGGTCCTGAGATATCACACTGAAAAGTAAGTTTTATTTTTAATCAACTCATTTCACACAGAAAGAAGAATGGTAGTAGTTCATCATTTTCTAACTTAAATTTTTCTTGTATTATAATACAAGCTTTAAACGTAAATGTAAGTTTATATTTTCCATTATATATATATATATATATATATATACTGCAATGGTTTTCCTTAAAACTGTTGTAAGGCTCTTTATACTCTAGATTTTTGTACAACTCTAGTAGGTCAAATTCTTAAGTGGAAATGAATATAGTAACATCCACGTGATCAAGGGCATAGATGGTTTTGTAAGAGATTCCAATGTTGTAGGTTTGAGAACTATAATGGACTGCAACTGCCTTGAAAAGAGGATGATGTTTTAGCTTCGATACTGAGGCCTTCTTCAGTATAGAAGCAGAAACGTCATCTTCTTTTCAAGGCGGTTGCAGTCTATTAAAGTTATCAAATCTACTATGTCAACTCTGCCTAAAGTTCCACTGAAACAGATTCAAACGTTAAAAGAAAAACATTTAAGATTATGGCTGAAAATATCAATACCAGTGATTGTACTCAATTAATATATCAGTACATTCTAATTACAAAAAGTTTTTGTTTTATGGCATTGCATAATGGCACGCAATGACAGGTGCAAGTTAGGAGTCAAGTGTACATTACCCATACAGCAGTTTGCTGCACTGCATACAGGCTTTGTGCATAACATCGCAAGCCTCAGTACACAAGCTGACATCTGCAGTACACTAACACTAGTGGGGATAAAGCTTACAGTGCTACTAGAGAGATAGGAACACATGAAAACAAAATAAATATGCAGCAAAGTTTTGGTGAATTCTTTTTTATTTCTATTTCTTAACATAAATAAAGCATATACGACATTCTGTTCTCGATATTAACACTCAAATGACCTTGGAAAGTTGGAATGCCAAGAAAAAAATGCATGCCGTTTGATATCAGTTATTGCTTTGAAGGATCTGGGTTGTGATTTTGAAACCAGGTAATAAAGTTGTCAGGTAGGTACCTGGTGTAAACACAGTTTACTTACTGTTAAAAGGCCAATAGAAACAAAAGACTTGTTAGCCTAGGGTTGGGCTGTCAATATTTGTGGTTTTGCAAATTCAGTAAAATTTGGAAAGCTAAAAGTATGGGGAATGGGATTAAGTGATAGTATATAAACACTACAAAAAAAAGTTTAAAACTAAAGCAAAAAGTTCTACGAAAAATCATGAAACTAAAGTGAAGCATTTGTATTTAAAGTATAGGCCTAGCCTAGCTCATGGTAGGCTAGTTAAACTAGGCCTATTACTTTTTGTGCTGTCTGTCATGCTCATTTTCTTGCGTGTTCAGTGTTGCTTCCAAGTTAACTTATTTATTGTATTTTTTTTTATTTTTCCATCCTAGACACAAGCAATTTACACGTTGCTTATTGCTTACTAGTTACGTCTACTGTCCCTCCCCTACTTTAGAGTCAGATATTTTACAGCAACCTTCAAATGAGTGTCACAGCCTGATATTATCGCTTGGCCAATTGCATGCTTTCAATTTCTGTCACAGATACACACTTTATGTGATTAGGTAGAACAATTCATTATGGTACCCAAACCATATCAACCAATGGACTACACAAAATGCGTATTGACCCTCGGGTACCCAGGTTGAAAATTTCTACCTAGTGTAAACACTATTTCATACTTCTGTTTAGATCAGTATATTAAATTAGCTACATTAATTTTTAGGTTGTATGATACAAAAATAAAGATTTAAAACCACAGAAGCATGAAATAGCATTTTAGATTATAAATTAGTTTCGTTTTTGAACAAATACTTTTGGGTTGGCTTTATATATATATATTGTATTGTAGTCTTTACTTACTATTTATAAGCTTAACTGTTTTTTTACAAAAATATTGTAAAATGGAATTTGCTGTTTACAACTTTATATTACTTTTTTCTGATGAAAATAATACTGATTTACAACAAATAAAATGTTATACAACAATGTGGATATTCATTGTTGATTTGAATATCCTTCTTCATTCTTATTAATAGGTTTGTCAGGGAGGCTTTACTGTTTGCTCTATGTATGGCAGTCATCAGTGTCCCATCCTTTATTTTATTAGACAACAATAGAACAGAAATCATGGAACTACAGTGCTGGCTGCAAGGTAAAACGTTAAGGAAGTGTAGAATTCCAAGAATAAAATGTTTAAAAAGTGTAAAATTCAAAGAAGTTTAGACTTAATTCCTGATTATGAGGTTGCCAAGATTTTGTTTTATATTTCAATAAGTAATCAGTAACTTTTAACATATTTTCCACAAATAGAATTTTAAGTTACGAGTACAAGTGGAATAAAATAAGAGAACTGTGGTGATTATATTATAAATTTCTTATAATTATATATAACATTATTTAAATAATGTTTGACAAACAGGGCTGGATTTAGACTCTGTGAGGCCTGCATGCAATTACATGGGTTACATCCCATATAAATGTGGCACTGTTTACAGATGAAGTTTTTTAGTTTCCTTTCTTAAAACTTTTGCTTACATTACTCATTGAAAGGATTACTAAAATTTTGTTTCCTGTTTCCAAAATTATGTGGTGCAGTATATTAATACTACTTTCATAATGTTTCTCCTATTTCTGCTGTTGTTTCACACTGTATCTTAGCAGCTTTCTTATTATTTCAGAGTGTATGTAATATGGTCACAATAAATAGTAAATTTTGTGAAACTCATTACAGTTGTAAATTGTAAAGTAATTTAGGTTTTTAACATATTGTAGGAACTTTTTGGTGTGGTCCACTACAGACCTCTCAGTGCAGTATCGTTTTTTTATTATAACAATTTTTCTGTGCAAAAATACATGTATATTGACAAATTTAGTTTACCTGCATAACAATTTTTTGAGATAGCACGAAGTTAATGTTTGATAAAACTGATACTGCATCTATGTTTCTCTAATTTTAAAGCTCGTGAAAAATTCAAATTCCCAATTTTCTTTGTCAGTGTATAATTTTTTGTATAAGTTTCTCTTGAGATAAATATTTCATGATTAGTGAAATTTCTTACTATTTATGAGTCTAGGGACCACAGCTTCCACAATATAAAATAAATAATGAAAGTCTTCCGGATATATCCGGAAATCCGGATTTATATAAAAAATCCTGAAAACCTCCAGTTTTCTTCCCGAGAAACACATTTTTTAAAATTATTTATCGGA